TGTCCTCAAGGATGTGCCAAGTTTTCAATCTGAGTATGGCATTATCCTACGACATCTTGTGGCAGTTGCAGATTATAGATTCCACATGCGCAAACGTGTTTATTCTAGTGAGTACACGCATGTTTCCTGGTCTTTCGTATATCATCATCTCTTTGGAGAATCACGCGAGCATTTTTTATTTTTTTTTTTTTTTAATTTTTTTTTTATAAATTAATTAGTTGAAATATAGATAAGTTGTGCTCGTGCAAAAACATGCGAGCACTGTTGAAATGCTCGCATGTTTTTGCACGAGCACAACAATTTTTTTTTTTTTTTCATTTCATTATTTAAATTCTTTTTTTTTATTATATAGAATATTAATAAAGTGCTTATTTAAAATGTAGATGGCAGGAGGCCGAGGGAAAAGTCTTATGAGTCAAGTTGCCGGTAAAGGCAAGAGCTTAATGAAAGCCTTGAGCGGGAAGGGGGACAATCCGGAAGATCCGGATCGCATTGGAGACCGAGATGTCCTTGCTTCCGCCCGTAGAAGAAAGCAGTTAGCTCGAGAAGCAGCGTTACAGCGCGAAGAAGAGAGACTGAGACGAGAAGCTGTTGCAGCTGGAGCCGGACCCTGTGGACCTACTCGCGATCTCCAGCTAGCTCCGTAGTACATTGCCACATGCCGACGACGATAATGACCACAACAACAATCCCGATAATATGGATATTTTTTTTTTATCTTTTTTTTTTTTAATTCGTTAATAATACAAATTAAAATATAATTTCGTTCGATACAACATAATTATAATCCGTACAAATAACTAAATAAGTAAATCCGATAACAACGTAAACAAAATTACAATAATACAGTACTACCTATGCCTAGAAGTCAACGTCGTCCAAAAAGCAAGTCGATCCGCGTAAAAATCTCGTAGAGGTAGTAAATTGGGAGCTGCAAAATACCTCCACTGAGGATGGAGACGAGGAAGAGGGCATGAAACCGGTACTCGTATGATCATAAAATGATCGTTATGTAGCGACATAGGAATAATACGTGATAACGCGGGGTTCCCAACTAGTGGTAGGTAAGTGATGCTACCCCGTTCAGTGAATATTAATACCATTGCGTTGTATCTTGTAGCGATCGCCAACCCCATATCTGTTGACATCCATTTCGTCCGTGGCGCCGGTCCCCTCTCATGACTGCATGTCAAGATATAATCAGAGACTGTATTTCGACCCCCCTCATCCCCACAAAAAATAGTAGCATATAGATTGTAACGCTCCATAAACTCCTCAACCAAGTCAGTTCTGACTTGTGGCCATCTCTCTTGACTGCCGTAAACAACTTCGGCTATGCATCGGTAGCCACAATTTCCATCGGCCCTCACATTAACATATGAGGCTACGGACTGTGCGAGAAACGGAGGAAGGAAGGAAAAGAAATTGACCCGGTCCCCGGCAGTAACAACTGATTCTTCCGTCGATTTAGTACGTCCGCGAGGACGACCTTTAACCTTTGACTCTGGCGTACCAGCTTTAAATTTTGACTCTGGCGTCCTTTCGGTCGGGGTTTTGCGACCCTTAGAGCCCGAAGAAGATTTAACTTCGGATTTCCGATTCATCATGTGCTCATATCCGGACAAGTTCCTCTTCATCGAGTTATTCTTAGGTCGTCCCTTGGCCTTCACAAATGACGGCTCTTGTAAATGCGTTGAAGAAGGATTACTTAGGTCCCGTAAATAGTCGGCCGCATTTTTTAGGGACATGTAATATTTGTTTGATAACTTCTCGAACTCATCGAGAAGAACTTTCTTAATTGCAACTGTGCGATCAAACGGTTCCTCCTCGTCCTCCCATGGATCCGACTTTGGCTCGACAACCAACGTTCTCCAGAATGGATGTAACTGTTGCGGATAAAAAGTATCTCCCTCAGCAATCATACACGCACACGGGAGTCCGTGGGTTCGGCTTAGGTAACAGTTGCAACTATCCGGATTCTTTTCCAACTTTTCGTACTCTTTATCCAACAGGTCCAGTGCTTTGTGTGATGCGTTACATACCAAAGCACCGAAGCACGACAGTGAAGTACTGTACATCCTGACTGTTCTACTGCTTTCGTTTTCCACCTTCAATTCATTAATTTGAAGGTCAACTTGCGCATCTAGTGCATTTCGAACTGTATCCATAGCTCCAGTCGATGTTTGGATCCAACGCTTCGATGCACGATGTGCACTCTCTACCCTGTTTCGAGAAAACACTCAAATAATGAATAAATGTAACATGTGTATAAAAGATTGTACGTAACGAGTTTATAGTAAAATCAATTTATATACCTGTTAGTCGTCGTGTTACCGAAATGAACGATGTTGTTGGTCCAACACTTAACAAATCTCTCCTTATAAATCAACCACGTTTCATTGATGTAAGTTATCAACTTCGGATATTGCCCGTACAAACTAACTATCTCTCTATAGTTGCATTCGTATTCTTCCTCAGTCTCAGATTCGACTAACTTTGCCCACACCGTCCTCCGGAACAGTACACCCAACTTGGTGTTACCCAAGAATTTTGACGCGTTTGCCTCAACGTTTCTGTTTATGTGATATAAACATAACATGTGATGCGAATGTGGAAACACGTTTGGCAATGCTTTCAGTAGGCCCAACTCACGATCTGTCAGTATCACTTCTGGTTCTATCCCGATTGGTAATATGTCTCGCAAACATCGCAATGTCCATGCATAAGTGTCCTCATCTTCACGTGACATAAAAGCAACGGCAATAGTGAAGTTCCTTCCCACGGGAGTAACCCCAATGATCTCCAAAAGTGGCATTTCATATCTACATGAAGGTAATTATAATTTAGTCAACTCTTATATATATATATATATATATATATATATAATAAATGTAATTCACATTTAAATAATTATTACCTGTTAGTCTTGTACGTGCAATCCATCAGGATGACGTATGGAAATAACTGCAAAAGCTTTATTGAATCAGGGTGCGCAAACATAACGTCTTGCACTGCATCACCAGCTGGATTTGTTCGATGCCATTTGCTGTATCCACTCTCACTTAGTTCGTGCCACAGATGTTGTATAACTGTTTTTCCTTTCATTTCCTCTCGTCTAATTTTCTGTGATTCATTGTACACATCTCTCAAGGCCGCAGCCGTATCCGGATTCATCTGTCTCAGATGATGCAAAATTTCCTTCGGCTTCACATGGCTCTTTTTCAGTATCTTTGTCACTTCTCGTTGCTCTTCACTCAGGCGACTTAGCGAACATAGTCCTTGTGGATATTTATGAGGATTATGATTGTGATTGCCATTTTTTATGGTAAGGCGCCATAATCCATCACGACCATCTTTACCCCATAGCGCAAAAGGGCATTTACACTTTATTGTACCGGACTTCCAGCTTGTTTTGACCTCTGCATTTTTTCCTCGACTCTTATAGGCTCTTTTTTTTCGTTTCATTATTTAAATGATTTTTTTTATTATATGAAATATTAATAAAGTGCTTATTTAAAATGTAGATGGCAGGAGGCCGGGGGAAAAGTCTTATGAGTCAAGTTGCCGGTAAAGGCAAGAGCTTAATGAAAGCCTTGAGCGGGAAGGGTGACAATCCGGAAGATCCGGATCGCATTGGAGACCGAGATGTCCTTGCTTCCGCCCGTAGAAGAAAGCAGTTAGCTCGAGAAGCAGCGTTACAGCGGGAAGAAGAGAGACTGAGACGAGAAGCTGCTGCAGCTGGAGCCGGACCCTGTGGACCTACACGCGATCTCCAGCTAGCTCGTAGTACATTGCCACATGCTGACGACGATGATGACCACAACAACAATCCCGATAATATGGATACTGACGAGGAGATGGAGGAAGATGATGAGCCAGCAGATGTATATCAGGATCGTAGAGCTGGTCGTGCCTTACCCTTTCCGCAGCTGCCTGGTCCGGCGTACTTGGAGGGTCCGTGCGAGGGAGGGCCGCAAAATTTAGAGTTTATGCGATGGTTCAAGTCGCATATAGCGATGTACATTTGTGAAGGATATGTAAGTTTTTCTGTCAACACGTGCTTTACATAATTCTTATATTATTCATTTTTTTTAGCTAACAATACATGCAATATTTTTCAGGAGCACCGTGAAACTACACGGTGCGAGTCGAGGACCAAAGCACTCGAGGACTACCGCGGCCCGCAGGATAACACGATGATTGCGAGGCTGGAGGCAACAGGTCTTTACCACTTACGAGACTGTTTTCTGAAGAGGATGAACAAGAACCTCATGCTAGCTTTCGTGGAGAGGTGGCAGCCGGAGACGAACAGTTTCCACATGCCATGGGGCGAGATGACGATCACGCTCCACGATGTCGCTTTCATCCTGGGGTTGCGGCTGGACGGACCAGCAGTGTCTGAAATTTGCCCGGTAGAAGAGTGCTCACAGAGTCTTGCATCTGTATTGGGTGTCGGTCTGATGGACACCAATGACATGTTTCGAAACAAGGGAGTTGGTTGGGTTAAGGTGAGAGATCAGTTGACCCTTCCCTCCGCCACAGACGAGAAGAAGATGAAGGGCTACTTGATGTTTCTGCTTGGGTCTGTTTTGTTTGTAGACAAAACAGCGTGTAACATGAAGCCGTGGTGGATCCATTTTACCAACGATCTCGATAATGTCGGCAAGTATTCGTGGGCTTCGGCATGCTTAGCAAACATGTACCGCCAATTGGGTATTGCCACCCGCGCTGGGATGAACAGTCTCTGTGGATGTGTTATTCTTCTTCTGGTACGTGTACCTTTATTAGTAATTATTTATTTATTTAAACTTCTATTTTATTTATTTATTTATTCATTGGTGTTTGTTTGCAGTGCTGGATCTTTGAGCATTTCCCCTGCTTTCGACCACCTCTTTCCCGTTCATATGCCGAGTTTGAGCCTCGATGCAGAAGGTGGGCCCATGGTGGAGGCAATAAAACCACGCTGCAGGAATACCGGAAAATACTCGACGCCATGACCGAAAGAGATGTGAGTAATAATTTTTCTAATTATGTCTATAGTAGAGTTACGGATTTTTCTAATTAGTTTAAAATATGCTTAGGTTTGTTGGACCCCGTATGGTACCGGTGCACATTACTTACATCCTCGGAGTATGTATTACGGCACGATACAGTTCATGGATATAGTGGAGCCGTACATGCCCGACCGAGCGTTGCGGCAGTTTGGAAGAGTCCAGACTATTCCTTTCCCGATAATTGAATCGAACTTGCCACATAACCGCGGCTTGTTTGGCGCGGGATACAAAGTCACTTTCCACGCTCCTGGCGGCATGTGGCAAAACGAGTACGCCAACTTCATTGACCTGTCGCAATACCCTGAAGCCTGGCCGCCGGAAACAGTTGCCGAGGAGTACATGAAGTGGTACATCGAGCGGACGCACCGGTTCATTAGCAACCCTGATAGAGTTCCGCCTGCAGAACAGGTTGTTGCTGCGGTGCCGCCAGACCAGCCGTTCGCCAACGACATAGCTCGGCTCCTAGTTCCGATCGTGTTCGGTATGACTGGTGACGACGCAGCAGAGGCATTCCTGAGCATTCAGCCGCAGTTGAGGGACTTGTTGACGCCACATGCCCACTATTTGCGTCTCTTACCTAGGAGGGGTCGCGGGGGAGGTCCGAGGACTCGGGGTCGGGGGTCGAGGGGTGGACAGTAGGACATGTTACCTATTTGTGTATTAGTTTCAGATTTTTTGCACCTGACAATTGGTATTCGTGTGTTGTGATTTGTTGTTTGTTTTCGGATTTAGTTTTTTGTACGGATGTTTCATTTTGGATTTGCGGATTTTTCTTATTTGCCCGTATTTTAATTACGTTGTTATCGGACTTACTTATTTAGTTATTTGTACGGATTATAATTATGTTGTATGGAACGAAATTATATTTTAATTTGTATTATTAACGAATAAAAGAAAAAAAAAACAATAAAAAAAAGATAAAAAAAAAAAAATTATAGCTCTGCTCGTGTGTTTTCACACGAACAGAGGTGTTCTGCTCGTGTGAAATCACACGTGCAAAATGCCTCTGTGCGTGTGAAAACGCACGAGCATATTTCCACGTCATTTTTTTTATGTGATTCATTGTACACATCTCTCAAGGCCGCAGCCGTATCCGGATTCATCTGTCTCAGATGATGCAAAATTTCCTTCGGCTTCACATGGCTCTTTTTCAGTATCTTTGTCACTTCTCGTTGCTCTTCAGTCAGGCGCCATAATCCATCACGACCCTCTTTACCCCATAGCGCAAAAGGGCATTTACACTTTATTGAACCGAACTTCCGGCTTGTTTTGACCTTTGCATTTTTTCCTCGACTCTTATAGGCTCTTTTACAAGTCAAATATTGTCGGCCCTCGTGGTAAGACTGTCGCCTAATCTCATGTCCTTGACTGATGGCCATATTCATCGCCCACTCGACTAGTGCATCTTTACTATCAAATGCAGTCGAAATTGTGAAAAATTCACTGAAATCATGTAGCTCAAATGTTTCAAATCTTCATCCACATCTATGTATACTTCCTGTTTTTATATTAATGTAGTTAGCAAATTATAAAACTAAAGAATAAAACTCAAAAAAAAAAAAAAAAAAAATTGTGTTGCTCGTGTGATTTCACACGAACAGAGAAGTTCTGCTCGTGTGATTTCACACGAGCAAACCTTCTCTGCTCGTGTGAAATCACACGAGCGAATAAAAAAAAAAAAAAAATTTGTTCATGTGCTCGTGAAATAACTACTTACTAAACACACATGCATTTTGATGTTGGTGTGATTATATGCAGATCAACGATTAATACGATTAATAATCACCCGATATAATTCATCGGGCGTAGCATTAAATAAACCCTGAATTATCAATCCTACTAACAATCGACAAATACTAATCTAATAGTAGAGTATCACCTTATATAAATTTCAAATAAATACCCTCCTAAAGAATCTCAAATTTGCTAAATATTAAACAAATTATTTGTTAAAAAATAAAAATAAAAATTGGTTCTTGAATATAGTCTCAACCAATAGAAATGCAGTGGTGGGGGAGGTATCATAATCTCTATTTTGTC